AGGCCGCGATCGTCTCCAGGTGGGGCTGGCCATGGCAGAGGCTGAAGATCGCCGCGGGGTTCGCCACGACCTGCATGCAGTGCAGGGAGAGGTCGTCGATGCGGGCGTTCTCGATCGGCGGCTGGGCGTGCTCCGCCAGGGCCCCGACCTGCGCCGCGGGGAAGAAGCAGAAGTAAAAGCCCTGCTGGACCCGCCCCACCCGCCCCCGGCGCTGCGTGAGGCTGACCTTCGAGATCCACTGCGTGATCAGCGGGGGGTAGAGAATCGACGCCGGCACCCCCACGTTGATCTTCGGCCGCTTCACCAGCGCGAGGTCGATCACGAAGACGACGTCCGGCAGCGTGATCGAGACCTCCGCGATGTCCGTCGCCAGGTAGACCTTTTGCCGGTTCGACACCTGCCGCTTCATCGCGGCCTCGATCTGGCTGAGGTCGATCGCGCTATGCCAGGGCACCACGTCGACGCGCTGGGGCATGTTCCCCTCCAGCCACCCCTGCACCATCTCCACCTGCGCCCGGCCCGGCAGGAAAACCAAAATCGAGTGCGCCGGGTTCGACCCGTTGTTCAAAAACACAATCAAATTCTGCAAAAGGCAAAGGTGCTTCTCGATGAGCCCGCGATCGACGGCCTCGGACTGGACCAGGCGCGGCGGCGCCTCGTAGTCGACCCCGAGCAGCATACAGCAGTCCTCCAAAAAGTAGTCGTGAATGGGGTGCTCGGGCTCGCTTTGCTTGTAGGTCGCCACCTTGAGGCCGGTGAAGTACTCCTCCCAGGACTCCGTGTTCAGCGTCGCGCTCATCAAGATCAGCTTGAAATGGACGAGTTTCTCGCTGAGCATCAGCCGAAGAAGCGCCACGGTCACCTCGAGGTCGGGCTGGCGCTCGTGGAACTCGTCGAGGATGATGTGCGTGTACGGGATCGCGTCCGGGTTCTCCAGCAGCCGCAGAAGAAGGGTATAACTCGTCATATACCACAGCCGCGTCTGCTCGTCCCCGCGCTTTTCGCCGCGAATCCAATACCCGACGTCCTCCCCGACGTTCTCCCGGCGTAGGGCGGCCACGCGATTCGCGATCGCCACCGTCGCCGTCCGCCGCGGCTGCGTGCTGACGACCTTCGTGTGCGGGGAGAGCTCAAGCAGGGCCTTGGGGACGCTCGTGCTCTTGCCGCTTCCCGTATCGGTGCAGATGAAAACGACGTGATGCTGCTCGATCAGATCCAAAATCACCGGCATATCGAGCCGCTCGACGACGAAATCGCTGGTGGTGATGTTCTCCTGCTTGCCATACTGCTCGAAGAACTTCATCTGGGTCTGCAGCACGACCTGCTGGATCTCCTGGAAGCTCAGGAAGCGCTGCTTGTACTCGGGGTCGTTCTTCATCGCCTCCTCGTGGGCGCGCTGGGCCTCGACCTGCTCCTTCACGAGGCGCTGCTGGAGGCGGCGGTGGGGGTCCTCGCGCCGCCGCCGGCCCCGCACGCCGCGCG